GAATTGTCACACTAATTCGCTCATATAGCAAGCATTCTTCATGAATGCATACAACCGATTTCTACTGGGTTATAAATGTGAAAATATGTATGTACATACATGCAAGGCCGAATTTAGGGGGGCCTTGTAGGTGTTCTGACCTGGGTCGAGACCAAAAAGCTTCTCCAATTGCTTCTCTCCTGTGCAAATTTGCGCCAGTTGGTTATCCCGAGCGCAGACAGGTCCTTTGCACTTGGTTCTTCCATTGCGTTCGTGAGCGCCCTTGCTTTTGTTGTCCACCCATGGGTGCGGAGTCGAAGGATGTTTTCACCGGAGCGTCGTCATCCAAGCGTACAACATGTCCAAGCCAGTGCAATCGCTGCATTTTTATGCGCTTAACTATGTCCATGTCGTTAAAAACCTCATATAGTTCGGCATTCCATCTTCTCCGATACCCGCCGTCTACGAAAACAGGGCCGTAGATCTTGCGTGGAATGGTCCTCTCAAAGCCAACAAAGCCTTCTCATCTTTGTTCGACATCGTCCAAGTTTCTGCGCCATATAAAAGGACGGGCATGATGAGAGATTTGTAGAGCGTGATTTTCGTTCGTCGAGAGAGGGCTCTGCTTTTCAATTGCACACCGAGCCTAAAGTAGCACCTATTGGGAATAGTTATTCTTCGCTAGATCTCCAGGCTGACGTTGTTGGTGGTGTTTATGCGGGATCCTAGGTAGACAAAGTCCATCACTACTTCAAAGTTATATCTGCCAATAGTGACATGTGTGCCGAATCGCGTGGACTCTTTATATGTTGCCAGGAGGTCCTTTGTCTTGCCCTTGTTCACCGCTAGAGCAACCTCTTTAGCTTCTTTTTCTAAACTGGAAAATGCTGCGGTTACGTCCCTTTGCTTCAGATCTACGATATCGATATCATCTGCATACGCCAGCAGCATCGTTCTTTTGCCATATATGGTGCCGCTGCAATTCAGATTGGCAGCTTGGCAGCCATACATACAGTGGTAAAAACATTTTAGCCGAAACACTTTATGCCAAGTTCTAACGTATTATTTTTGTTGTTGTTGAACTTTTGTTATTTTTTTATAAAAATATAGTTCTTTCTTTAACAAAACCCGTGTAAATCCAATTTTCCAAATTTGTGCCATATTAAAAAAAAAATTCAACAAACTTTCGTACAAATTTCGAGCTTTTTAAAAATTCTAAAAAATCAATCGAAATTTTTAGCCATTTGAAACTTGTACTTTATTCTACTAGAATTCGATGGGATACAAAACTGCATACTCAGAAAATAATTTAAAACCTCGAAATTCTAACGAAAATTTTTTTACGATCGCAAAAATCACAATTTTATTTCCAAAAGAGAACTTGTTCTACAAGCGCGTGTCGATTCTGACTTGCTTTTTTTCCAGAAAATTCTCTATCTATCAAGAAAAGCGAGAGAAAAGGAATAGCCGAGAAGGAAAAAGGAAAAGGAATGTGATAGGCAGGGCTGCAGTCAGGATTGTCAATCACACCAACGGATTGCCAATCACACAACAGGGTTGCATTCGAGGTTAGAGATGGAAAGGTGTTAACAACTCGGCCAATCTGACATTTGATCGACCTCGATCAGAAGCTTAATTTAACAAAATTACTTAACTATTGTTATTTAAATACTTGGATGAAATATCACCTATAGTTAAAAGGTCTTAGTTTAGGTTAGGGTATTGCTTTGCTCTTCGACAGGTCCAGCCTCCATATTTTGCTCAAGCCACCCACGCATTCTATTGGCCTCAACCACTCCATCATATGGGATTTGAGTTAACTGGCAATTTTCTACGTCCTTGATAACGTATCTATCATTCCCGAGGATTTTGTGCACGACGTAGGGTCCCTTGTATTTAGGGATGAGTTTTTTGTTAGTGCCAGCGGTAGTGTCTACATTTCTTATTACGACGAAGTCACCGACATTGTACTTCTTAGCTCTCACGCAATGTCTTAGAGAATATTCTTGACTACGTTCTTGGGAGCTTTGGATTGCCTCAGCGGCATCGCGCCGGATTGTTTGCAGATCACGCTCTTCCCGTGCGCCAAGCTTATCCTCAAAGTATTCCGTAAATTTGTCTACTACTTCTCCTTTTTGCTCTACCCCGAAAAGAAGCATACTGGGCGATTTTTTTGTGGTACCGTGAACCGAATTATTCAATGCGTATTCTATTTGCAGGAGCCTGTTTGACCAGTCAGCATGATCGATAGGGTCGCTCAACTTGCCTAACATGGTTTTAATAACCCGATTAACCCTCTCTACCTGTCCGTTAGCTTGCGGGGAAGCCACTGCAACCTTTACATGTATAATATTCCGCTTAAGTAGAAATTCCCCAAATTCTAAAGAGGTGAAGCAGGATCCTCTATCAGATATAATGCGCCTCGGTCTACTATAGTAACTGAAGTATTTCCCTAGGGCGGCGGTTACTTCCCGCGTACTCGTCGAATTCGTCGGGTATAACTTCACAAACTTAGTGAAGCAATCAATTACAACCAGAATGTGCTTCCTCTTAGATTTTAGTGACGGTAACGGCCCGAAATGATCTACATGCAACGTGTCGAACGGAACAGGTTTTTTAGGGATGCTATACAAGTGCCTCTCATTCGCTCGGACTGGTTGAGCATACATGATGCATTTAAGACAGTTATGAATAAAACGCTCTACCTTCTGACGCATTTGTGGGAACCAATAATAATCAAAAATTTTCCTTAAGGTTTTATCAACCGACTGGTGACCAATCTTCTCATGCATCAGTCTTATTATATTGTCTTCCATCTCACGGGGGATATACAAAACTTTGCGACCATCACGCCTAACTCTAAGGACAAGGCCATTTTCTAGTTCGAATCCCTTCACCTCTGCTTCCTGTAACTGGTCTCGTATGTTTTTGATATTTTCGTCACGTTCTTGGGCAATTTGTACTTGGAATTCTACTTCGTCAACGTCCAAAGTCACACCTACTTGGCAGCGACTCAGTGCGTCCGCATGCCCCATCAGAGCACCGCTACGGTGCACTATCTTATAATCGTATGATTCGAGCTCAAGAGCCCACCTCGCTATCCTCGGATTAACTTGTTTCCTCTCTAAGGTCATGGCAAGTGAGTTACAGTCTGTAACTATTTTGAACGGGATTCCCTCTAACTAGACTCTAAATCGACGTAAAGCATAGATCAAAGCTAATGTCTCTAGTTCGAAACTGTGATATCTGGCTTCTGCAGCGGAGGTACTCTTGGAGAAGTATGATATTGGATGGAATTTCTCATCATGTTGTCGTTGCAGCTAAGACTGCACCAAACCCAGTCGTGCTGGCATCACAGTGGAGTTCTGTCTCTCGTGAGGGGTTATAAATGGCTAGGATTGGAGGTTCTGTTAACTTGGCTTTAAGTTGTTTAAATGCGGCAAGGCAGTGTTCGTCGAAGTTAAAGTCAGTGTTATTTTTCAGTAAGTTAAGCAGTGGTCTGGCAATTTTAGAGAAGGACGGCACAAACCGGCGGAAATACGAGAACAGACCTATGCAAGAGTGTAACTGTTTTTGATTGGTTGGAATTGGATATTTTTGTATATCTTTCACATGTGATTCACTTAAAGTGATTCCGCGTTTGGATACAGAGTATCCCAGATATTCTATCTGAGCATATCCGAATTTGCATTTCGACAAGTTTACCTTCAAACCCCGTTTACTAATTCGCTCGAGTAGTGTCCGCAATAAAGTCATATGTTCCTCGAAGGTTTCCGTCGCTATAACTATATCGTCCATGTAAATGATTACTTTCCTTGCTCGACTAAGTCTCTAAATATATCATTTATAAATCTTTGGAAAACGGCCGGGGCATTTTTAAGTCCGAACGGCATTTTAAGGTATTCGTACTGTCCATTCGGCGTCACGAATGCAGTATAGGGAATGGATTCAGGTGACATTTTAACTTGGTGAAACCCATTTTTAAGGTCCAAAACCGAAAACACCTTCTTACTCTCGAGATATTCTATACAGTCTTCTATTAGTGGTAAAGGGTAGTTATCCCGCACAGTTATTTTGTTCAAACCCCTATAATCAACACACAGACGCCTTTGGCCGTCCCTCTTCTTTACGAGAACTATAGGGGAAGCAGTAGGGGGAATTACTGGGACGTATAATCTCATCTGACTCTAAATCTCTTAATATATTCTGAACTATACTTCGCTCAGCGTACGATAAACGCCTAGGCGCGCAATGAAACGGCACATCAGTTGTTAGGTGTATCTTCATTTTATATTCCATCGGTTCTACTCTAAGGGATTTCGGCTGTAAATAAGAGTCTAGGATCAGAGTATTTAGTTCGGCACGCTGACTGGGATGTAAGGAAAAATCTATGTCTAACTCTTCATTTCGGCAGGCTATTTCAATATTGAATATATCCGGCACTTCGGCAGCGACTCTACAGCCGGCACTAACACTCTTACTTCTAGCGGGCATATTTTCAATGTTAAGTGGCTTATAAGCCTTCAAGAGGCTAAACTTGTTTAAGATTTCGACCAAGTCGTCCGGCAGGGGAGTGCAAGGAATTCCGTTTCTATAGGATACCAAATCGCTTTTCGCATATCTATTTTTTATTTTAGTTAACCGTATGTTAAACAATTTCAAGAAATCACGTCCAAAGATGACGGGCACTAACATCTCATTATCAGGCAAAATATTTATTTTAACATTTTTTATTTCATTTTTAAATTTCACAAAACATTGTATTTCACAAAGTATATTCAACTTAAGTCCACCAATGCTGCGATAGTTATGTTGCGGATTGTTTAAAGTCACTAAGTTGTTCGGCACACACGATTGCTTCATAAAACTAGTTGGACTACCCGTGTCAAAAAGAGAAATGAATTTATTAAAGTTTGCACTCTCCCGCGGGTTGGTCTTAAAAGCAATACTTACAAAGTTAAGTGATGTTGGAGTTTGGCTTGAGGTATTTTGTGTAATATCGATTCACTAACCTCTTTAGCTCATCCAGTGACTGCGCCGGCATAAGCAAGTTGATGTTGTTGATTTTGTTTCCGATACCGTCGAGAATTAGGTCGATAACATCGGTTTCCCGGATGCCGCCCTGCTTCGCCAAAGATTGCATGGTCAAAATATAGCAGTGCAGGGACTCTTCAAGGTGTTTCCACTTCCGTTCGGTCAGTGTTCGATAGACGTCCTGGCGACTGACTGCACTGTCGAATTCTTCGATGACCGCCTTCTTTAGGTCTCGATAGTTAAGAGCAGACGTCGTGGTTAGGAACACTCGAGCTGTTCCCTGTAGCGAGCGGCGTAAGCTTAGCAGTTTGAACTGATCGTCTGCATTGACAGTTCGCATAATTTCTTCAAAGTCCTCAAAGAAATGGTGCACTGACCGTGTGGAGTTATCACCAGTAAATTTTGGTACAGCGTGTTCGATGTCCGCGAACGAGGCTCTGCATCCGGTGGGCCTACCAATCGAGTTTTCCAACTCATAAATTTGTTTTTGTAGCTCCAACAGCTCGCGTTTCTTCCTTAGTTCCCTAAGCTGTTGATCCAAGGCATTGCCAGTAATATTGTGCAAAGCAGCGGAGCTAGTGTCGCTGGCTAAACTATTGAAGCCGTCGGGGATGCATGCAGCAGCAGAGCTTTCATAACCCAAGGAGCTGTTAATGGCGGCGACAGCGGTTTTGGCACGAATATTTGCGGCACAAGATCTTTCGGCGTTGGCGGGAATTTCAACGACGGCAGTATTAGTGGCGGCAGAGTGTAAGGCGACGGCAGAATTAGTGGCGGCAGAGTGTAAGGCGGCGGCAGCGTGTGGAGTGACGGCAGAATTAATGGTGGCGCCGGAAGCGGCAGAAGGCTTAGCGGCAGTAATATTAGCGACGGCAGTAGTATTAGTATTTGTGGTGACGGGCGTAGCAGCGGAATATTCACCGACGGCGGTATTAGTGACGGCAGCGCTGCTTTCGCAAACATAACTGGTACTTCCGTTAGGGCCCAAAGTACCGGTGGCGGCAGCTGTACGATGGGCAACGGTATCCTCAGCGTATGCACTAGGGCCAGTAGTAGGGGTAGCCCTACTTGGCTTTTCGATTCCCATGGCACTGGCTATGGTAGCGTCGTCGTCCGGAGCTGCCGAATCTTCCATGTCGGAGATGTTCTCTTCATCCTCCTCGTAAGGCGACTCGCTAATGCGGTGTTCAGCATAAAGACGCTTTAATTGGGCCACCGTGGCCGTCAGTGGAAAATTCACGCCAGCCGCCTTAAGTGCATCGGCGAGATGCTGCTTGGTAAGGCGTTGTGGAATTTTTTAGTCTTTTTCAGGTTTTAGCTTTTAAACTTAACAATGGGTACTTGGACCCCACACCTGAAGCTTTTACGATCGCAAAAATCACAATTTTATTTCCAAAAGAGAACTTGTTCTACAAGCGCGTGTCGATTCTGACTTGCTTTTTTTCCAGAAAATTCTCTATCTATCAAGAAAAGCGAGAGAAAAGGAATAGCCGAGAAGGAAAAAGGAAAAGGAATGTGATAGGCAGGGCTGCAGTCAGGATTGTCAATCACACAAAAGGATTGCCAATCACACAACAGGGTTGCATTCGAGGTTAGAGATGGAAAGGTGTTAACAATTTGTTGATTTTTTTTTAAATTGCATAAATTTTTAAGGCAGTGTCACTTGATTGGTGCCTTTGCACAGATTTGTACATTTTTATATTGGGCTATTGGTAAAAGAAGGGATTTTTTTTTTTTTTTGTAGTCAAAAGATTGGTACATTACAGCGATGTTCTACTTGAAAAATTTCAAAAAATTAATTTTCGTGATTGGGATAAGGAAAATACTTTGGGTGTTCACACAATTGGGATACGATTTGCACCAAATTTTGGCAAATACCCAATCGTGTGACACTGCCTTTAAGCTTGTATTTATACGGATGTTTTTAAAGAATGGAATATAAAAAAACTAACTAAAATTAAATAACAGCAAAATAATATTTTAAAACTTGTGAAAATTTGGTGCGGCTATAATTTGTTCGACTAATAAACTAAAAAAAAATTACTGTACATAAGTTTACTATGATTACTCGGTCGTGCTATTATAGTAGCACAACGCCACTAAGCGCATTTTAAAATTTTCAGGCAATAGCCTCATGCGATTGTCGATTATATTTTTTGTTGTTTGTGTGAAATATTTTATTTTTATCAGTATTTTTCTTTTAATCAAAATATGTTGAAATATGAAACAAAAGTGAAACTAAAAAAAACATTGCCAAAACCCATTGGTCAAAACGAATAAATAAATAGTATCCCTAATGTACATATGTACATATCTTTTAACAATACAAATTTTTTGATAATCTATTTCAATCCACTTAGATGCATTTAAAAAGAAAGGTCCTGTTGAGTTCGAAAATAAATCAGGAAGGCAATTGAGCTCAATGTAATGTATAATATTAGGATATTAGATTTAAGTATGTACATATGTACGTTGGTGGCAAAAATAATAGAAACGCCTTATTTTGCTTAATTTTTGGCCACATTTCCTTTGTTTATTAATGTTTAATGTACTGAGCTAGGGTAATGTATTTAGCTTCAAATTTGATGTAATGTACTTAGCTTCTAATTTTTTGACGATCAATAATTAGTTCATAAGATTTTATGAAAATAAAAGACAAAACAAGTATTACATGTGTCATTAATGATAGATTTCTATATCGTGGGAGAGAGATCAGACTAGACGAATTTTTACATCAACTCGTAATCAACAATGATATGAAAATATGACAGACNACACAATTGGGATACGATTTGCACCAAATTTTGGCAAATACCCAATCGTGTGACACTGCCTTTAAGCTTGTATTTATACGGATGTTTTTAAAGAATGGAATATAAAAAAACTAACTAAAATTAAATAACAGCAAAATAATATTTTAAAACTTGTGAAAATTTGGTGCGGCTATAATTTGTTCGACTAATAAACTAAAAAAAAATTACTGTACATAAATTTACTATGATTACTCGGTCGTGCTATTATAGTAGCACAACGCCACTAAGCGCATTTTAAAATTTTCAGGCAATAGCCTCATGCGATTGTCGATTATATTTTTTGTTGTTTGTGTGAAATATTTTATTTTTATCAGTATTTTTCTTTTAATCAAAATATGTTGAAATATGAAACAAAAGTGAAACTAAAAAAAACATTGCCAAAACCCATTGGTCAAAACGAATAAATAAATAGTATCCCTAATGTACATATGTACATATCTTTTAACAATACAAATTTTTTGATAATCTATTTCAATCCACTTAGATGCATTTAAAAAGAAAGGTCCTGTTGAGTTCGAAAATAAATCAGGAAGGCAATTGAGCTCAATGTAATGTATAATATTAGGATATTAGATTTAAGTATGTACATATGTACGTTGGTGGCAAAAATAATAGAAACGCCTTATTTTGCTTAATTTTTGGCCACATTTCCTTTGTTTATTAATGTTTAATGTACTGAGCTAGGGTAATGTATTTAGCTTCAAATTTGATGTAATGTACTTAGCTTCTAATTTTTTGACGATCAATAATTAGTTCATAAGATTTTATGAAAATAAAAGACAAAACAAGTATTACATGTTTCATTAATGATAGATTTCTATATCGTGGGAGAGAGATCAGACTAGACGAATTTTTACATCAACTCGTAATCAACAATGATATGAAAATATGACAGACTTGATGTTTCATGATTGATCGGTTATTACATCAAATTTGATTGCACATTACTGACTTATATTTCTATCAAGGTTGATCACTCATAATTGTCGAAGATTTACATCACCGATGATTAAAATTTGAAGGCAGAACTCAAAGGGAGTAAGCAGTCTAGCAATATGCCAGAACGTATATGTTAGAAGGAGATGAAGCATCACACGTACACAAAAGTTTCCATCAGATTTTTCACACTGCCCTTTAGAATTTGATAGAAACTTGTAGGTAGCCAGTGACAGAAATCTTTATCAGTCTTGCTACTAAATGATTTGTCAAATGATAGTCACTGTTCTTGCAGGGTAGTTATTCATGGTCATCGATGATATTCAGCCTTACTGCATGCTTACCTATCACGCAATGACCAGTTGGAACTTCCACCAGAAGTTAGAAGTGTAACTTGCTCACGAGCTCCCTGGACCGCCCTCGGTCTACACGTGACCAGAAGGACTTAGACGCCCTGCATTCCAAGGTCTTTGCCCAGCGCACGCTGAGCTGGCTAAACGCCCATCTGTCCAGAAGTAGACCGCTTGAGGTCAGGGGAGTACCCAGACCTTGAGCAATTTCTCAAGTGTTCCCTGCATTGTAGCGGTAACACACTACAGAACAAGCAATCCGAAGCCTCCTGTATAGCGGCTACCTCTGCTTGCTACAGTGATCCGGAGGCCTGAACTTTAGGTTGATGGAGAATTTTTTCTTTTTACATTTTTGAATGAAAACTAAAATTTCATCAGATGTTCAGAGAGCTTGAAGGTTTCTGCAAACTTTCTGTTCGCATACTATACTGGATATTTTCCTTTTGTGAGAGAAAAGATTTCACCGGTTCACAGGAATTTTGTTGCTGGGCATGTTTTACTGGAGATTTTAAACGAACGTACCTATAGACAAATTTATCTAATTTAAAAACATATATAGGTTGGTACTTTTTCGGCTGATTTGGTACATTTTTTTTTTGCCATTTGGTACAAAATTAAAAAACGCATTTATCATCCCTGGCTCATACACATCACGTTTGCCTTTGTGAGCTCGCGTTTGATCGGCATTGATGTACAGAATTTTCGCGTAGTAATGCGCTGTATTTGGCGACCAAATAGGCTTATGCTTGTACGTCTTTGTAATTTTTGGTAACTTTACACCCAATCTACCAAGAATAAAAAAGATAAGTAAGCCACTTCGTTTGGTACCACAAGTGTTTCGTTAAAAAAAAAAAATAATTATTATTAAAACCGGTTTAGTACTTTGAGAACTAAATCGTTACAAACGCATTCCATGTAATCAATTTTATATAATAGTATAGACTCTATACCAGGCCTTCCCAAAGTGGGTGACGCGGCACCCTGGGGTGCCGCTAGTGGTTAGAGTATACTAGTGGTGCGGGCNAAAAAAAAAAAAATAATTATTATTAAAACCGGTTTAGTACTTTGAGAACTAAATCGTTACAAACGCATTCCATGTAATCAATTTTATATAATAGTATAGACTCTATACCAGGCCTTCCCAAAGTGGGTGACGCGGCACCCTGGGGTGCCGCTAGTGGTTAGAGTATACTAGTGGTGCGGGCAAATTCTTCAGACTTTCCATACACAACGCAAGCGGTTTGATTAAACTTCAACATGGCGGTCAGAAAATCAAAAAATTTTGATTTTTATTCAAATTACCTTCAGCGTCTCGTCAAACCCCATACACAACACAAATAGCTTGCAGCAAAGGGATATTTCGCTCTTAAGCGTAGTTCCCCAGTACGTTTTGTCAATGTAAAATTGAATCAGAAAATTTTCAGAAAAATAGCTGAAAATGTACCCTTTTCACAACCGCTTTCGGTACTTTTGTAGACCTTATCCGCGTTTCATCCACTTTTCTTCCCGTTTTCGGATTTTTTGCTGGCTGGGCTGTTCTCGTAACAAGCGCAGCATTTTAGAGGCAGTTTTCTCGTGTTAGTGAGGTACCTATTCGCAATGCAAATCGAAGAGGAACGAAGTACTTCAGACTTACGCCACTAGCGACGAAATTTTAAAGCTATCGACAAATTTGTACAGAACAATGGTTTGAAATGGAGCAAGTGTGCGGATATTTGCGGTGGTTGGAAAAACGAAAGGAGCGATGCCTAGGATGAAGCAAGAGGCAGAAAACGCCACGAGAAGTCACTGTATGATCCCTCGGTATTCCTTGGCGACTAGGAAGTTGCCGCCACTAGATTTAAAACCCGTATTGAATGGCGCTGCGAAGATAACAGAGGTCTGCGAAAGTAAAATACATCTCTGATTTTTTCTAGCCCGTCGAGATTTTTTTTATTGGTGACATGTATATTTTACAATTTCCAGCAATTTGCATGAAAACGCCATAAATAAACAAAGTAATCAGAAAAACGTATGTAACTTCGAAGTTAACGCTA